GGAGCTGATCACGAGCGACGAATTCGCCGGGGATGCCAGGCAACAGATGGGCGCGCAGATAATTGGCGTGGCGTCCTAAACAACGCGACCGACGAGCATGCTCAACTGCTGCGCGACGCTCTCTGCGACCCCGACTTTTGTATGCGCTTTGCCATTCTCCGCCGCATTGGCTCAGGGGGCACAGTCCGCTTGCAGTGGCTCTTCCGCACGAATAGCGTTGTTGGCCGCACGGAGGAGCAGGTGCGATCGCACATCAACCTACCAGCGGCGTCCTACGAGGCGGCGTACTGGGTGGAGCGCAACTTGAGCAGCTATGATGAAGTGGTGCGGGACGTGATTTACTTGCGGAGCGGGGCTTCCTTCGAGCGCGAGGCGGAGGCTCCAGCCGCGCTGCACCTTGTGGTGCCGCCCGAGTTGGACAAGCGTGGCTATTGGAAGGGTACTGGATTCACAGGTGTGTATTGGCTGCAGCCCGGCCAGCCAGTGTACGGCCACCCCAGCTACCGACACAGCTACGAAGCGGAACACGGTGACAGCTCGCACCCATCTTTGGGTTCAAAAACTCGTGTCTTGGCAGGGCCGTGCTGGGCTGGACCATATGACACTGACAGGGCGCCGTGGATCACGGTCAGGTTGGCCCGGGCTAGGGGCGCAAGCAGTTGGGCCACCAGTGTACCACAATGGACCGCCGGCTACCGGTTTGTGTACGGCTTTGAGGCTATATTTGCTGCCAAAACGACTGCCGTCACTGGTCCCTGGCACCATGGCTTGCGATGCGAGGCATTAACCGAGGAGGAGGCGCACACGCTGCTAGCTGAGCGCCAGCGTGCCACTCAGGATGCTGGCTCCCACCAGACGAGCTCTCCAGAGTCTTTATTGCAAGGACGGCATCGGCTCGACATCCCCGGGATGCTGGCTCAGGACGAGGCGCTCGCAAAGGCCAAAGCAGCCGATGCCGTCAGCTACGCGCGCCTTCCGGCCCCCACCGCCTCCGCCTCCTCCGCCGCCGCCTCCGCTACCGCCGCCGATGACATGGACCAACGAAAAGCGTGAGCAAGTGCTCTCACTTTCGGGGCCACAAATGCCGCATCGGGTACAGCTGAGGCTAGTCGATCGCGTGTACGAGGTGTTCGAGCAGCACGGCAAGCCTGTCAATCACACCACCGTTGCAGCAGCACTAGGGGAGTCGCATCAATCTGCAGTCCGGTCTGCATTGACTATCGCCCGTGAGCGCTGGCGTGAACAACATCCTGATGCCATGCCGTCCTCGAAAGAGGCACTCGCTGCCGTGAAGGGGCTGACGCAGCAAAGGGGATACATGTACCTCAGCGACAAGAAAATTCACGAGGCGTTGCTGCCACAGCTGCCAGGTCTCACTTTCAAGCAAGTGCGGCGAGCTGCGGCGCGCGTGCGCGATCCACAACGGGCTGTCACAACTTACGGGCAAGAGATCCCGGTGTGGGAAGCGTCGCAGCGAGCCTATGTCTTTCCTTCAACCGGCGAACATGTTGCAGGCGACCAGTGGTCAACTCCCACTAAAGGCGAAGCAGGCCGAACCATGCGGCATCACATAGCATGTGGGCGGCCAAACGAACACGAGCTATCCTAAAGCGTAGACTGGCACTAGATGCGTCCTGGCATCGGGAGGGTCCGCCTAAGAGGAAGTACGTTCGTAAGAACTGATACATATACTTTTTGTGCGTGGAGCGTCTTCCCCTTTTGCGCAGCAACACCTTAAACTTTTAGGCCCTCCAAATTCGGGTCGGAGCGTAGGCCGTAGCGGAGTGGGCCCCGAGTTTGAAAAGGGCGACGGACGCTTGCGTCCTAGCCTCCAACAACGCCTCCCCGGCGCAGAGGGGCCCCCGGAGGGATGCACAACCGCTCCACGCCACGCCGCTTGCGGCGGTCCTCTTCCCAGTTCCGCTGAAAGTCCGTGCGTTATTTTTCACGCCGGCGCTCCGTCTTGAGAACACTTGTGGTTGTCGCTCGCCCCCTCGCTCCGCCTCCGGATACATCCTGCCTGTGTTCATGGACCCTCTCGCCGCGCTGGGCGCGTACGGCGAGGACTCCGATTCTGAGGACGAGGACGCGGCGCCGTCGGCCCTGCATTCTTCCGCCGCGTCCCTCGCAGCGTCCACTGCCGCCTCCGCCGCCGCCGCCGCCGCCGCCACCGCGCCCTCGCAACCGGCGCTCCCGTCGGCCTCGGACCTGGGCCTGCCCGACTCCTGGACCAGCACCGGAGGCGACAGCGACGACGAGCAACCGACCGATCCCAAGGGCACGCGCTACAATGCGGTGCCTCTACCGTCCTCACTCGCCGCGGCGGCGGGTCCGGGGTCGAGGCATTCAAAGTCGCATATGCCGGCCGCGTTACCAATCTCGACTCCGGGCGGACCGGCCGAGCCGCCCGCAAAGCGCCGCGCCGTCGCCGCTCCGCAGGCGGCGAGCGGCGCCAAGAAGGCGCTGCTGCCACCGCAGCTGCGCCGGCCGAATGTGGTGACAGAGGACGCAAGGGCCTGGTCCTCAAAGCAGGGCCGGCCGAAGCCCCGTGAGTGAGTGAGGCGCGCGCATACCCGTACCACTCCTGCGCTCGTTGTGTGGGTTGATGACTGTTCT